CCTGGTGTGGATCGGAGAAACCACAGGAAACCACCGATCAGAGCAGCCGGCCGCTGGAATCTTCCTCCAGGCAGGGGCTGAATTCGACCTATCTTAGCTATCTACTAGCTAGAGTCGAAAAATCCTATCACTCAGTCAACCAAGGGACACGAACTCTAGGGCCGTTCAGAGGCATTGCAATGACTCAGTTGAAGCCCTAACCACCGGTAAATTGCAGTGTTTGTATGTAATTTCAAAATGACTTTTTGAATTCTCATAGGGTTATGCATGTTGATGCAAACACCAATTCCATTGTTTTTACGATTTTTGCTGTAGTTTTTTTAAAACCTTAAATTTTCTGATGGTATTTTTGGCTTTCTTTTTAAATTAGTCTCCAAAGTTAATTAGTTAAAGAAATGGCAGACTGTATATGATGAGTTGGGTATGACTTATCCTAGAAAATACAGATTTAAAAATTGTCGCACTAAATTCGAGAAAATGATTTTAAAACTGTCGCACATGATTTTATGGGATTTCACATTGTGTCCACGTATGTAATCCATGATACTGGGGTAAGTGTATATTTTGAATAGATTTCAAAGAGTTCCATTAATGTAGTTCATATATTTCTACTAATGTACTTCACAATTATATTTTAGTTTCATTATAAATGTTAGTTATATTTCATTTGAAAATTTCGTCTCTGAATTGATAATAGTACAAAACTGCCGAAATATGTCTGGAAAATTATTCAAAGATATTAAATAACTTTAAAGCTTTTGTGGGTGTTTTCTCTTCAATCCGTTGTAATATACCAACGAACCTTATATAATTTTAATTAAAGGAACATTTATATAAAAAGCATGAAAGAATACATTGCTTTTATATATTCTTCCATGAGAAAAACACTGATATATACTCGTATAGTTACGATCGGGAAGACACAAATAACGTGGCGTCTCGGTACATGGATGGCTTGACCGTTCAAAGCCTCTTGTAGACAGCCATTAAAATACACATGGTGGATAAAGACCGGAAGAGACAAAAGCATTAGGAACAATGGAAGGGGAGTTAAGGATCTGGTTAATAGGCAGCAAAACGCTCTCTCTCATTTTAGATGTCAAACGAGCAACATTGTTTTTACTTCTAGCAGCTGAACGATCAGTATTAAACTTGGTTTTTGTTGGCTGACGAGCGTGACAAATTTTTTGTAGTGATTGCATCAGAGAAATTCGATATTAAGGATAGGTATTAGTTGTAACAATTTGAAATTGTAAAGAACATGAATAATTGATAGGACAATATTCGGGATTAGGCACCCATCTGCGGCGATAATTAGGGAAAGTTGGGATAGAATTATTTTGGATATTATTGGTAAATCTAGTAGGGCAACTTTATTTAGGACATACAGAAGAAAAAAAAATCATCGCGGCGCGTGAGAAAATCAAGATCACGCGCAGATATTGCAGTAAGCTACCACGCATTAGTATTCATTTTCAGATCTAAAACTGCAATTTAAATACTTTTTTGAGAGCCAAATTATTATAAATGCATTTATTTGCGTGTATGCATGCACGTTGGCACAACAGATCTTTAACAGCTAAGACCTACCAGTAGCGTCCCGCCCTTGCGGACATGGTTTAAGCAGTACGTGTGGTGAGCTTTCTCATCGTCACACAACAACAGATACTGGGATATTGCAAGGAAAGCGCACAATTAACTTTTGCCCCGGCCGAGAATCGAACCCGGGGTTGAAAGAAATCTATGCAGCCCCCAGCCACGTGAGAAGTGTCTGTGGTCTCGTTAGATACCCAAGATCACCAGAAAAATCAAAACGCAATTAAACAGTTACGATTTAGATTGAAAACTACATTAATACAGTATTCGTGAAGAATGTTTTTGTTAAAATATTTAATTTATTGCAGTGTTTTCGAGAGTATTTTGTTGTTCTTAAACAGATGCGTGCAATTTTTTGACAAACATTTTTTGTGTGTGTGTTCTGCCACAAGTTTTGTTGATGGATACACTAGTGTAAGCACAACAATATTTAACGGTGTGTCTGAAGTTGTTCTTCCATTTCTTAGAATATTTCCATATTTTCACCTAACGGGTGTTTATGGAAACTCATGTTAATCTTTCTACATGAAGTACATGTTTAGTTTAGGCATAGGAATTAAAATACAAAATAAATATATCATCCTGCATGCATATTGTATATGTAAGAAATTGATATTAAATTGAGTCGGATTAAAGACAAGTTTTCAGGATAAATTTGTTTCTAGTCACACATTATCATTAAGTCAAGAATAAAAATTATCACTACAATATACGCAACGCAAGAAAAATCGAACTAAAACTCTAATTATTGTAACAAACGAATTTCAAAGATTATTTGAGAAAGTTCTCCTCAAACGTTACAAGCAGCTCCATAGGCCAACGGCTTCTGTGCAACCTCCTGCACTCGCCGTTTTTGTATATTCTAATGTCGTTAATTTGAATGTAGTTATGTTTAATTTACTAGAACTTGAAAGCTATTCCCGTACAAGAATGTCTAATGAGAATCCCAATTCAAGAAAAGGGAAAACGGCTTAACCCGTTTTAAGCCATTCATCTATCTAACTCTTCAGTTGCATAACGCTGAATTTAACGATAAAAATATCCCTACTCCGAAGTAGAATTACTAACTAACAATTAAACAGAATTGTACATTATTAGTTAAAATTCGAAATTAACTTATAAGACAAATATTCGAGGGTTTCAGTTAGTGCCCAAAAAGTTTTGTTGTCGGAATGTTTAAAATTCAAAAAATATAAAATGTGATAAAAATAAAGCGTGTTTTTAGATTCTAATTATTTGAAGTGTTCAGTATTGAAATCTTTAAACATTTTCCCCCGAAAATAATTTTTGTGGTTGTATTTGCAGGGCGTACAATTGGTCCCGCTTCAGGCCAGTGCGCGTCGCGGCCGCGCGGGGCGCACCGGTCGCGCACGCGTTCGTCCCACATGAGGGTGGGGCTCGCCTAGCGTCCCTCGCTCGCGGTAGTACCGCCCCGACCCCGCCGTCGCGTACCGCGCCGCGCCCCCGTAGTGCCCATTGGTCCAGCAGCACGGGGCTGGGTTGCCACGTGTAGAGCGGCGCTCCCCTGCGGCCCTGCTGCCCGGGAACTGGCGCCGACCGGCAGCCCAGTCCCACTCGTGGGGAGCTGCCTGCGGAGCGCGGCGGACCCCTGCGCCGCGCGCTGGAGGAGCGTTGCGCCGCCCGCCTCCAGGCCGCAGCCGCTCGAGATTGGGGGGCGCCGTACGCGTCCCGGGACATATGCCTCGCTCACCTGCCGCCGCGCCGCCTGCGAGAGCCAAGCCTCCTCATCCCGCGCCGGCAGCGCAAGAGATCGTCGCAGACCGCACTCAGCCATCCTAGACGCGCGACTGCCCGACCTCGCCACTCGATCCGCGCTGCGCCGCCGCGCACGCCGCGCCCGCGTCAAGCGTCGGACGGACGAGCTCAATTACCGCTGCCGGCCTTCACGCGCGGCCGCCGTGCTGACTCATATCGAGAGCGCGTACTCACGTTACGCTGCTGGCGGGCGGACACTAGCGCCGCCTCTCGCGCCCCTGGACGCTCCTACGCCACCGGCACTGTCTCCCGCCAGCATGTCTGGCCCCAGGCGGCCGGTCGGCCGCGCGCCACGTTCCCCTTGCCTCGCTGGCTCACGCGTCACCAGCACTCGCACGACGCGGCAGCTCTCATTCAGCCGTACGCTCCGCGCCGGTCGCCCTCTTCCTCTGTCGCCTTGGCACCTGCCGGCGCCCTGGCTCGTAGATCTTCTCTCTGCGGCTCCGTCCCGCACCGCACTTGCGGCTCTCAGGCGAACCGCAGCCTGGCGCCCTCCGCGCGGCTGCGCTGCGACCCGGGCGCGCGCGGTTCCGCGACTCTTCCGCCAGAACTGGCAGCGCGCTCGCGCGGA